TTTCCCCAAATTATTAATAAATTCAGTACAATTTCAAACAACATCCCAACACTGCTTTTTATAGAATTTGATAAGGTAAACCTGAAATATTAAAAAATAAAGAGCCAAGAAAAATCAGCCCATTTTGAAAAATACATCAGACTATACCAGATATCAATATGTATTATCAAGTAATCATAAACTATGTGGTACAGGTATAGATAAACAGGTCATTGAACAAATAGGGAACCTAGAAACAAAACCACTAGTATATGGAGATGTGGTATCTGATGAAGCTGGTACCAAAACTCCATAGGAAAAGAAGAGGGGCTGGGGATGTGGCTCAAGCGGTAGCGCACTTGCCTGGCATGCGTGCGGCCCGGGTTCAATCCTCGGCACCACATACAAACAAAGATGTTGTGTCCGCCGAAAACTAAAAAATAAATATTAAAAAACTCCCTCTCTCTCTCTGTCTCTCTCTCTCTCTCTAAAAAAAAAATAAAATGTTCCACCTAACCAGTAATCAAGGAAATGTACATTAAAACCACAGAAACATACCATTTCTCGCTCATCATTTTGCCATTACTTAAAAAGTATAATACCAAGTATTGATAAGTATACGGGGAATGGCAAGCTCTTGCTTATTGGTGGTTCAGATATAAACTGATTCATTTTGAAAGACAATTGGTAATAATTGAAAATGGGTATGCCCTATGAACCAGCACAACGTACACAATACTGTGTGAGATGTTCATTGCAGCCTTCTTTGTAAAAAAATAAAATACAATCTACAACTATCCCACAGGAAAGGAGTGGATTTTTAAAACCTGTGGCCTTTTTATACAATGGAATATTACATATTAATTTTAAAAAATGAACTCTATCTACATGTATCAACAAGGATAAAAATTAAAACACTGATGAATAGAAAAACACAAGTTGAAAAAGGATGCATACTGTATGCATCCATTTAGAATTTTTAAACACAAAATAGTATTATATATTGTACATAAATACTATTCATGAAAAGTATAAAAACATGCATGAGAATGATATGTACCAATTTCAATACAATGATACCTTCTGGAAAGAAGGTAAAGGAAAAGATAAAAGTATAAATTTGGGCTGGGGATATAGCTCAGTTAGTAGAGTATTTGCCTAGCATGTACAGGGCCCTGGGTTCAATCCCCAGCACCACCAAAAAAAAAAAAAAAAAGTATAAATTTTATTTTATGTGAGGGAAGTAAGGGGTCTAAATAAAATATGGAAAATGTTGACATCTGATAGTCTTAATGATGGGTGCATGGGTTGCAATATCTCTATACCTTTTAAGTTTTGAAAGTAATTACTACACAAGAATTAAAATTAAGTCATAAATAGAATCCTTATTAAAAAAATTCACTCTTCAATGGAACAGAGCCTCTATCATAAGGATTATTTCATTCAAAGCAAGGATCAATAGGTTAAGGCAATATAGAAATTAGAAACAACTGTGAAATTATGTGTGGGCAGAAGATAATAAGAATAGTTATTGTTCATTGGTGTGAAAGAGAATTAAAAAGAGTAGGGAGTGAGGAAGGGCCTGACGAGGTAGAGTTCTAGGTGGCCCACATGATGGTGACGCATCAGTGTTTTTGTGCCATTAGTTAAGAGCATAATGTGAAGGCAAATCAGAAGGAAAAGCTTTGCTCTCGATTCTGAACATCCTCCCACCCTAGCTCCTCTCCTCAATGTGATGCAAAGAGGAATCTGTGCCAGACACAATATTAGCTCATTAGCATCCCATTACTGCCTTATCACCTTCCATAATTACAAATCTACTTGGGTAAAATCCAAATCCTTTGACTTTATTTTCATGTTGTTAGCTTTAAATTTGGATTTGAGCAAGAGAAAAGGACTGATGTTTCAGATCTCCTGCAAAGGAGATGATGGTAGGTAGCAAGATAGCTGCTATCATAAATGCCCAATGACCCCCATCATGTATTCTCAAGCCATACTTTTATTTTCTATTATTGCCACTTACACAATACCCTACACTTTTCAAAGCTTCAAATTTTTCACTTAAACTATTTCAAATGATCCTCATAATAATGCCATGAAATAGGCAGAGCAGGTATTGTTCTCATTTTATAGATGGGGAAAACAGCTCCAAAGAATGTCAATGACTTAGCCAGAGCTATAGTGAAGAGCTCTCATTTTTTCCTATTATCTGGGCTTAAAAACATTCAAAACATCTTGGATTCACCTCTTTTTATTCCTGTATCCAATAAAGAATCTGTTCCTGCAGGTTGTTTCTACCAAGTGTCTATTTCCATTTCTTCCTCTCCACTTCATTTCCCAACATCCACGTTGGGGCCTCATCATTCCCTGAGTGAATTACAACTGGTGAACCAGACTTCCAGATGCCACTCTTTCCTCATTCCAATCCATCCTGCATTCTCCTTCTAGACTAAACTTCCCTAAACATCACTTCCATTATGTCATTTCCCTTCCATTATGTCAGTCCCTTCTTGACTCCTTCTTCTTTTAACCGAGAATCAAAAGGACTCCCCAACCAAGATTTCAAAGCTCTCCTTAAAACTCACCTTTTCCAGTCACTACTCAAAGTAGGTGCTTTGGAAATAGAAATGGTTAACATACATTTGAGAGAATATTCGGAGAATGCAAATTTTTACAAAATCATTTTTACATATCAAATCAGCTAAGTTTTGTGTTTTTTATTTTTTCATATAATACTGCTCAATATTGGCAGAATGATAAAACAGTCTCTTACCCAATGCTGGTAGAAGTGCTGACTTGTATAATCTTTTTGGAAGACAATTTGATTATGTGCATTATGTTTTTGACCTACAATTCTGTATCCTAAGGAAATAATTAGAAATAGCAACAACAAAAACAACAACAAAAACCTTATACCTAAGGATGTTAATTGTACTGTTATTTAAAATTACGAAAATTATACATACATGTAATTAATGCCACTCATCTATCATGTCTTTTACTGGACAAATTCAATAGCCATCATATTTTCCATCTCATCCCCATACAGACTTACATGCTTCCAGTGGCTTTTCACTGCACTTAGAATGAAATCCTAAGTCTTTACCATGGCCTACAGGGTCATGAAGGATCTGGGCTCTGCCTAGTTCTTGTTTTCATCTCTTCTTTATTTTTCCCCCTCTTCAGAGGTGGAAACCAGGCCTTGCACATGCTAGGCAAGTGATCTGCATGTGAGCTACATCCCCCATCCTAGTTTTTCATCTCTTCTGCTGCCTTACTTTGTGCTAGCTACAGTGGTCTTTTTCACATTTCGCAAACAAACTCTATCCTGCCTCAGGGACTATAAATTTGCTGCTCCCTGTGCCTAAAAAAACATTTTCCAACTTTTCGGATGGCTCGTTCCTTCCTATCTTGCAGGTCTCTACTCAAACATCACCTTCTTCGAGAGTCTTCTCTGAACACCCAATATAAAATAGCCTTCCCTGCAGCTCAGGTTGGAGCTCAGTGGTAGAGTATGTGTTTAGCATGCATGATATCCTGGGTTCCATCCCCATAACTAAAAATAAATAAATAAAATGAAATAGCCTCCTCACCCTTCTTATCCCATGATCCTCTTTATTTGGTTTATTTTCTTCATATACTTTGTTGCTACCTGAAATTACATTATTTATTTGTAATTCTCCAAAACTAGAATTTAAGCCCTTTGTAGGCAAGAATTTTTATTTGCCTGTTTATTATAGGTCTAGTTCATAGTAGGAGCTCAAAAATATTTGTTTTAAGAATGAACAAAAGAAGTGCACTTAAAAATACTAAAGGAACAACATCTGAGAGGAGGTAAAATTATAGCCGCTTGATCTTTTTACTTTTTAATTTTCTTTTACATTTTTATGCTTTTAAACATTTCTCAAAATTTATACTTTGAGTCTATCTTTTGTAATCAAATAGAAACTAGTTAACAAAATATAGCCTATACTCTGGTCAAACCCATTTTATTACTAATCAAGAACATGCCCTCAGTGCATATTCATTTCAACATCATGCCTTTTCTCAGGCCTTCTTTTCTTCCTTCACCTCGGCCCAAGGTCCACCTCCTCCATGCAGCCTTTCCTAATTACTTCCATTCTTTTTGATCTCCCTCCCTTTCTCAGCCCTTGCATTTGATTGTATATGTTGTGCTACATTTACTCATACTCATTCATCAAATACTTTCTGTATATTTTCTGTGTCTTGAAGCCTTTCAGGTGCCTGTGCATTCCTAGTATTCCTTCCATCACACCGTGCTCTGTGGTACTTAATACTTGCTTTTACCATATGACATGTTGTGCCATTCATTTTTACATTTATTAAGAAGAAACTGCTTTCATTTTTACCTTAAGGTTGAGGAAACTAAAACTTTAGGAAGGTTAAGTAACTTGCCTGAAGTGAAAAAGGCTATAGTGGTAAGGCATGGATTCAAACCCAGCCCAAACTCTTTGCCACTATGCTATGCAACCTCACCAGGCTACATGACAAATGAAACATGATTTCCTTTGACCCATAGGCCACAAATGTGCTTTCAATTAAATGCATGATATTGGACAAGTTACTTGACCTTAGGGAATCTCAGTTTCATCATGTGTGAAAAAGACAATACCACTTTGCAGGGTGTTATGAATGTCAAGGTATGTTGAATTGCATGGGGCTTAGAAAAAGCCCCATGCTGGGAGTGAATGTAGTTGTTAGTATTAAATATGCTATTTTTGATACCTACATCTTTAAAGTAGGGAATGGCAGCTCCCCCTCACTTCTGCCTACCCCGTGGGACATCCACATCTCCATAGCTGGGATCACAACTTTCCTTGGTGAGGAAAGTGCTAGCAGAAAGCCTGGACAGCAGGAGAACAAATAAGCAGGGCTGCCACTGGTTAATCAGAGCTCAGATTTCCTCCTCCAAACTCAAATGGATAGGAAGACACTTGAGTTGAAAAAGTTGTTTTGTTTGTCATTCAGGTCCACTAATCTAAACATCTCTCACTCCTCAGGACTTATTTTAGGACCGGGAAACAGCACACTGTTTATTGAAAGAGTCACAGAGGAGGATGAAGGTGTCTATCAGTGCAAAGCCACCAACCAGAAGGGTGCCACGGAAAGCTCAGCATACCTCACCGTGCAAGGTAAACAGTGCATAGGAAAGCAACAAGACACTGTTCAGACACCTATTTCCCTGTTTGTTTAACTTCCCACCTCCCAGTCCCCTGCTGCCTGGCGCAATCTGTTCCTTCCCTGATCTCCTTCTCCTGCCTCCTGCCCCTCCGGGAAGGTACTGTCTGTTTCTGTCTGGTGAGGCACAAGGCAAAGCCCAAGATGGCCAGGCTAAGCACATACAATCTAAACCATCCCAGTAGGGGAAGTAGTTCCTGGAAGAAAAGAACTCCCACTGCTGACAGCATGGTTACAATGACCCACAGAGAATGGCCTGAGTGGCCCACACCTGTGAGAAAGAACCCAAGAAGGGAGGGAGGGAGAGAGGAACCCACACTCTTCAAACTGCTCTTTTTTTTTTTTCCTTTTCAGATTCCCAGAAATTAGACATGTGCTTCTTGCCCCAATGTTTTCCTAAGCTGGTTTTTAACATGAATAGGCACAAAATATTATCAGGGAGAAGCAATACATAATAAACAGACCACATTTAAGAAAAATATTCCAGTGCTTCCTTTTTCTGGGCCTCAGAAAGTTTGTTGAGTGGCAAAACACAAAAAGGCCAAATTTTGCCCTTGCTTTGGCCATCTGGCTTCCATTTAGAAAACAACTTAGACCTCAGTTTCAATTCTCCAATGCTTAGAATCATCCAAAAACATAAAATTTACAGCATCATAAAATATCAAATTGGTACCTCTCAGATGTAAATATCAATGGCATTTTGAGGTCTGATATGAAAAGATGGAACTTGCTCAGAAGCCTGTTTCCAAATGCTCACTAGTGTACTTCAGAATATGCAGGTACTTCTGGAAGAGGGATTAAGAAGAAAGCAATGAACTTCAGTTCTTTTACCCTGGAAATGTTAACAATGCTTAGCGAACATAACTCTGAGAATTCACACTCTCCATTCTTTTCTAGGAGATGTTTTAGAGTCTCCTAAAACTGAAGTACCACAAATTTATATTTTCAGGAAAAGTGAGAGGGTAGCATTCCCCCAAAGACTTCCAATAATGTCCCTACTTGCCTCCCAAATGATTCAAAACATTTTTTTCAACTGTTCTGCTCACACACAGAGGAAATGTGCATCTCGCTTGAATACTTCCTTCTTCAAATGGTTGCTCCTATCTTTTAAGAAGGACTTCCAATGTGACCTTAGGAGTGGTTACCTCAGGCCATGGAGAGCAGAGAGCAGGAAGGCCCCCTATTATCAGATCAAATGCTATTTTTCCCCATGTCTTCACAAGAACCCCATCAGATACACAGAACAGTTACTATCAACCTCCAAAGGGATAGGAAATGACTAACCTAAATCACAGTCAGGCAATCCCAGACCTGAAATGGAACTAGACTTTTTTCTTGGACTGGATTTAACCTACCACATGGCAGCCCTGCCTTGCTATTTCTGTCTTCCCAGCTTCTCTTCCAGGGAAAAAGGGTCAGCAATGACTGGACAGCTAATGACTTGGGAGAAGCTCCGGCACGAAGCAGAGTTGTTTATGCAAGTTAATAGGCCTCCCCTTTTCTGCTGATCTGGTTTTCGGAAACCACTTCACTTAAAACTGTGCTTTATTAAAAAAAAAAAAAACAAAAACAAAAAAAAACTGTGCTTTATTAGATCTACCCATCAAGCAAGACCACTACTCCTCCTTTTGCCATAAGGTTATTCTTTCATTGTTCAAGGCCAGATCAGTGCCACTAAGGAGACCCCCAGACTGGATTAGAGCCAGCACTGTGGCCACAGTGAGCCTGCTTCACCATAGATGCCAAGTGTGGCCTTTGTTCTTCATGTTCATCACACAGCCTAGAATGTCTTCTGTCCAGGCTCCATTCCAATTCCAGCCAAATTCTTCTTATCCTCCAAGGCCACTTTCAATACTTTCTACCTGTCCTTCAGGATGAATAGCAGAGTCACATCCTCATTCTCTTCTCTGCTCTCCCACATCATGGTTCTAGGCATTCACAGTACTTATTTATATTTGATTATTATTTCAGCCTTGATCAATGCTTCTCTTCCTACTGAATTGTAAGCTTATAAAGGCAGGAACTGTCTGACATTTCCTTGTATTCCATACCCATGCCCAGTGTTCAGCAGGAACCATATTTATTTAATATCTGTGTGTGCAGGTATTGTGCCAGACAACAAACAGTACAGTGAGCCCTCCAGATTCACAGGCCATGAATTCCCAGATTCAACCAACTGGTATAAAAAAATATTCAGAACAACAACAAAAAAAAAAAAAAACCTGCATCTGTCCTGAACATGAACATTTTTTCTTGACATTATTCCATAAACAATATAGTATAACAACTATTATACAGAGCATTTACATTGTATTAGGCATTATAAGTCATCTAGTGATGATTTAAAGTATACAGGAGAATGTGTGTAGGTTCTATGTTAATACTACACACCATTTCATTTAAGGAATTTGAGAAGCCCGGGGATAAAACTGTTTTGGATACCGGGATGGCAGTACTTAACCCTATTAAATCTTACAAAATCCAAAGAAGTGCACAGTGTTATTCTCAACCTATGGATGGGAAGATGGAGACTCACAGAAGGCAAACTGCCCCAAATCACAAATATATGGTGAGGCTGAAACTTAAGTCCATGTTGGTATTAACCTCAGGATGTTTCTACCTTTCCCCACTCTTCTTATTCTGAGAAGGAAGTTGTCAGCAAGGTCTTATAAAATTAAGCATTTGCCATCTTTCAGTTATTCTGTTGTTTTGGTTTCTTCTCTAAGTGCTTCTTATTTCCTTACACTGATTCCTTTCTCCTCTAACATTATGCTTTTCTGAAAAGTCAGACAACATAAAGAATACTACATCACTGAGAATTTCTAAAAGACTGTAGAAGCCTCTTGAGGAAAGCAGAGAGAGTTTTCACTGAAACTGTACATGTTGGCTGCCATTATAGATGTTCTGACCCCTATCATCTCTTGACTTCATCTCTCACCTCCCAATCCACCTTCCTACTTCTCTCAACTTCCAACAGTCCAGCCCCCAATACAGAGTGGTCCTTTTCAACAAGCTACCTTCAAGCCTGGGATCTCACAGTGGCTCCCAACTGCCCAATGCCCTCCTCCAGGTACACACAGCCCTCTCTTGGCTCCTTCTCCAGCCTCATCTCTCACTCTTCCCCACCCACCTCCAACACTCCCTAAACATCTGGGAGTCCCTAAACACACTCAGACTCCTCATGGCCTCTCTGCCTTTCCCCATCTTTTTCCTGTCGTCTGAACAACCTCCCCAATTGTTCTGCCCCTGGACAATCCCACTACTCATTCTTAGAGATCCACACTTGCTCTGGTATATTCTCAATTGACCTCCTACTTCACCATCATTTTTTCCCTCTGTGCTCCCATAGCACTTGATAGGTTCCTTGAAGGCAAAGCTTGCCACTATTTATTATTCATTTTTTTTTATTCTAGAGTACTCAATAAACATTTGTTGGATTTACTCTATTTAGAAAACCACTATTTTATGTCAGAAAAAGGAAATACATCAACATACTGGTTTAGGGCAACAGAGAGAAGCCACATTCAATAATCTGTTAACTCAACAACTTACTTATCTGCTCAGAACTATGTAGAATATGGAAGTGTGAGCCTCCCTAACCTTGGTATACTCTGAAAACCCAGTTAAAGTAAGGTCAAGGTGCACATGAACCATGTCAACAAACATTTTGAGCTCTCCCAAGAACAAAGAAGAAACACCAAATGGTATAAAAACATACTACACAATGCCACTAGGAAGGGCTAAAGGCTTTCATAGAGACTAAGAAGGATATGAAGTATGACTTAATACTGTGTCCTCTAGAATGGTAAGGTCGAAGAGGTTGAAATTGAGATGACAGCAAGTTATGCAACAACTTTGGATATCCCTCTTGACAATAACAAAGCCTAAATAATCCTAGCTAGTCCCTACTGGCTAGTCCATTGCATTTTGTATGAAACTGATACTTCCGTCTCCCAACCTCTTCTCTGTTATGTGGCATAGAATGTGGCCTTATCCTCTGAGCTCTTGTTTGTAATGTTTTCTCCTGCTTTCAGAACAATATCTGTATCCAACCTCTTTGCTTAAAAATTATGGTTAGCTGAGAAAACAGATGACCTGATCTGCAATCATGAAAACACTTAGGTTCATTTATAAAGGAAACATAAATAAATGGAGCCATTTATATGAATAAGATAATTTCTGAATAATGCAAAAAAACTTTTTTTAGGATATTTAACCTAGAAAAGAGATAACATGGGAACAACATGTCTGTTTTCTTCAAATACTTACAGAGCTTTCTGACACAGGCATTTAACTCATTATTTGACACATCAAGAAAAATAACTAGAACCAAGGAAAGGAAATGGTAGTAAAGTTTCCAGGACACAGGTTTCAGATCCATATAAGGATATAGTTTGGAACAGGAAGAATTTTTGGAAGTTGATACTACGTGGATCTTAGGAAATCCTGACTGTATGAGTCAGGTGCAGCACCTTGAATAGAAGTACTTTAGGCTCCTTGAAAAAATTTAGGTTCATCATGGGATGTGGTTTCAAAACAGTTGACTATAATTATCTGCTCAGTAATTTTACAAATGAAATTGGATTCTTACTCTAAATCATTACTCATATCACCCTGGTGACTGTAAAACATTACCTAGATTTAGACTTGATTTCCTGTTAGATGCACATGGACCCTTCAGACTGACCTATCTTGTCAAATTGAGTTTAGGAAACGAAACCAGGCATACAAGTTGTGTCTGTGGCTATGTTTAACAGATTGAAAGAGGTTCAGGAATTAGCCAGGAAGGAAACTGTCTGCTCTTTTTATTTCCTTTGAAAAAGGATTCCTATACTCATAGATAAAACAATGTGTTATTTTTGCATCTGAAAAGGATGAATGGACGGTGGAGTCAAAGTAGCTTCTTTAAATAATCACAGGTCTTGTTTGGTTTGGACCTAGCCTAAGCACAAGT